GTTGGAGTTAAATACTCTATAAAATCTCCCACCGTCAGGAATAAAGGGATTTAACCAGGATCAAATTAACTCTTGTTAGTGAAGGGGGGTTTAAGGGGCTCTGGAGCTAGGTAGAGACAGGTTGAGGGTGGTTTGCTCTGATCCCTAAAGGATCCCGACATGTCAACTTTCCTTAAACATAATTGTTGATCTGACAGTTACCAAGACCCCGGCAGCAAGTAAACAATGACGGGATAATGGAACCATTTTAAACAATTTCTAATAAATTAAACTGATAAACATATTTAGCAATAACAATTGCACAGGACACAGCCATGAGGGATAGATGGGCTGATAGGTGGAGGGAGGGATGGATGGATGAATAAGAGGAGGGGAGGGCCGAGGGGGGTGATAGGTGGTTGGATGGATGGAAGGATAGGTGGAAGGGTGGGTGGAGGGTGGGTTGATAATGAAGTAATGATTAAAGAATAAGGAGAGAGATGAGCGAATAGAATAGGATAGGAAGGATAAAGGAATGTGAAAAGGAAGAATAATAGGGAATAGGATAGGAAGGATAAAGGAATGTGAAAAGGAAGAATAATAGGGAATTGGATAGGAAGGATAAAGGAATGTGAAAATGAAGAATTAAAGGGAATAGGATAGGAAGGATAAAGGAATGTGAAAAGGAAGAAACAAAGGGAATAGGATAGGAAGGATAAAGTAATGTGATAGGAAGAAACAAAGGGAATAGGATAGGAAGGATAAAGTAATGTGATAGGAAGAAACAAAGGGAAAAGGATAGGAAGGATAAAGGAATGTGAAAAGGATGAATAAAAGGGAATAGGATAGGAAGGATAAAGGAATGTAAAAGGGGAGAATAAAAGGAAATGGTTTAGAAAGGATAAAGGAATGTGAAAAGGAAGAATAAAAGGAAATGGTTTAGAAAGGATAAAGGAATGTGAAAAGGAAGAATAAAAGGAAATTGTTTAGAAAGGATAAAGGAATGTAGAAGGGGAGAATAAAAGGGAATAAGAGGAATGTGATTTTAAATAATAGTAGAAGGGAAGAGAGTATGGAGAATAGCAAGGAATAGAATAGAAAGAATATAATGGAATGGAATAGGAAGAATAGAAGGGGGAAAAATAGGAAGAACAGAACAGAAGAGAATAGGGAGGATAGAAGGGAAGAGAAGAGGAATGATAGAAGGAATGAGAATAAATGTAATAGGAGGAATGTGATTTTAAAGAAAAAAGGGAAGAGAAGAGAATTAGAAGAATAGAATGGAAGAGAATAAGAAAGATATATCTTCTTATATAGAAGGAAAGTGAATAGAAAGAATGAAAGGGAAGATAATAGGAAGAATAGAAGGGAAGATAATAGGAAAAATAGAAGGGATGAGAATAGAAAGAGTAGAAGGGAAGAGAATAAGGAGGGATAGAAGAGAAGACAATAGAAAGAATAGAAGGGAAGAGAATAGGAAGAATAGAAGCAATGAGAATAGGAGGGATAGAAGGGATGAAAATGGGAATTGTAGAAGGGATGAGAATAGGAAGAATAGAAGCAAGAGGGATCAAGTATAGACCCTCAAACTAAAAGGTGCACACATTGGATATCGAGATCAAGTGTTACCGATGAACGTTACTCCACACAAACGCTCGGATATCAGGGACCAGGGTACTTTTTACAAATAATGACCCAGGAAGAAGAAGACGACTAAAATTATGTGTTCTTGTTCTCAGTCTATATTCATTAAATTGTACTGTGAGGGTAATTGTATCCATGATGAATGAATTGATTAATGAACGAAAACGTTGCAATTTTGCATAAATTTCGCTGCAAAATTTACGTTTATGAGATATTTTTAATTCTCAGGCACGATGATGGGTTACAGGGCTTCATACAGTCATAAAGCTGAAGGATAGATAGATAGATATATAGTCATCCAGCATTTTACACACAATAACTTTTTAAAGAGGAAAAAGGAGGGGTGAATCAACCCTTTATTCAAACTGGGAAGAATTTTCAATATCAAAATATATTTTTAAGAATAGAGAAGGGAGGGTTTTTGAAGAAAATGGAGGTTTATTTGAAGAAAAGAGAGGGTATTTGAAGAAAATGGAGGGTATTTGAAGCGAAAGAAGAATATTTGAAGAAAATGGAGGTTTATTTGAAGAAAAGAGAGGGTATTTGAAGAAATAAAAAGGGTGTTTGAAGAAAATGGAGGGTATTTGAAGCGAAAGGAGAATATTTGAAGAAAATGGAGGTTTATTTGAAAAAAAGAGGGTATTTGAAGAAAATGGTGGGTATTTGAAGAAAATGAAGGGTATTTGATGAAAAGGGAGGGTATTTGAAGAAAATAGAGGCTATTTAAAGAAAAGGAAGGGCAATTAAAGAAAAGGAGGGTGTTTGAAGAAAAGAGAGGGTATTTGAAGAAAATGGAGGGTATTTGAAGAAAATGGAGGGTATTTGAAGAAAATGGAGGTCTATTTGAAGAAAATGAGGGTTATTTGAAGAAAAGGGAGGGTATTTGAAGAGAAGAGGGGGTATTTGAAGAAAATGGAGCGTATTTGAAGTAAATTGAGGGTATTTGAGAGTGACATGAAAAATTTGAGACAAACATGAAGGATTTGGCATGGTTAAGGAAGGTATTTAAAGAAAAAAACGAAAGAATTGAATTAAAGAAATGGTGTTTATTTTTGAGATGAAGGGTAGGTGTGATGAAAAGGGTAGAAACTCCAGCAGTCATGTTAAATTGAGAAAATGGGGCTTTTTGAAGATGTATTAAAGGTTTACAGATTGAGAATAGAATAATGAGTTTAAATTCTCACGTTTAAACGTTTAAGACGGAAAATAAAATTGTTTCCACAATTAAAAAATACTTTTAAATCCAAAAATTCCTCTGATGTGTAAAAAATATTAATTGTTTCACAACGGTTGCTTTTACCGGGCCAATTGAGAAGTAATTAGAAAAAACTGGTTAATTTGATATAGATTCTCACAATCTTTACCAAACCCTCCCCCTCATCCCCTCCCCGCCCTATGCTATACCACCCAGTGTTCCCCCTTCCCCTCCCTTCAGACCTCTTCCCTCTGTTTCGCGCGTTCATCTCTCCAGGTCTCACCTAGTGGCGTTAATGTCTCCCGACACTATGGCGCCGGATTCTACCACGCTTAATTCAACCTCATTAGGGCCGGATAACCAACATATTTATGCAGGGAGATACTACTAACATGAGAATCTTCAACTGTAGACTTAATTTTAATTGATCTTCCATTTTTGGTTTGGTATGTTCGATTCCCAACGGTTTCCTTTGAACCTGTATTTGTTCAACCATTGAGTCAGTTTTGGATACAAACCAAAATTAAAAATAATGAATTTAAGCTGAAAAAACATGGATATATCCGTCATCCTGAAACAGACAAAGGTTTAAATGGTACATTTTTAATCTTTAAAAGGAGGGTTACAGGAAATGAAGTCTAACATCCCCAAGTGTCCGATGTTTATTGAAAATAGTTTCATTTGTGCCCGCTCTGGATTCCACTGAAAAAAAAACCATAAAAAATATGTGTAAATTAATAATCAAATTCTTTTCTATGATGTAGAGCGGAGTTTGAACCAGTTGTAAACCCAAGGAAGAACCCAGGTTTCAATTCAACTGTATGTCAGGGGTCTGGGTGGACAAAAACCCCGTCTAAAGGGGAAGTTAGTCACACTTTAGGATAAAAAATTGACGCGGCGTGTAAAAAGTCCAATGTTGACGAAGAAACGTTATATTTTCACGCGTGAATAGGAAATTATCTCAGCTTTTTGAATTTTCATAATTTTAGCAAAAGTAAAAAGTAACTAAAATTTTAATCTGAAAAGTTCAAAAGTGATACAACCATGATGGGTTTGGGGAGAATGGATTAAAAACATTGAGGAGAAGCAAAAGGAAAAAAGGAGAGAATGTTTTTTTAGAAAATGCGGGAAATGTATTCAGGAAAAACATGGGAAACTGAGGAAAATGAAAAAAATCATTAAAGAGGCGCTAGGAATGGAAGAGACAATACAAAAGAACGCGAGAAAAAGGTAAAGCAGAAAATGAAAGGGAGAATCAGAAGGAGGAAAGGGAGAAAAGAAAGATGAAAGGAAAAAGAAGAAGAGGAAAGGGAAAATTAGGAAGAGCTAGGAGTGGGGTTTTGATGATATGAGAAGGATTTGACACGTTTAAAGTTGAGAAAAACCAGATCTCTAGGCGAGGACGGAAACAGAGAACGAAGATAGATAAGAATAGAGATAACAAGGTATTTATAGGAACCAGAGACACCAGGTGTGGGGGGGGGGGGGGGGGGGGGATAACATTTTGTCTTCAGAAAGGGGAACCTATGTGTGAATATCTTAAATTAGCAAAATAATTTTTTGATTTATAGCAGTTATACATAAAAGGTTTTAACCTTTTTTTTATTTCAGATTATACCTTTTAAAGCTACACATAAAACTATAAAATGTGTTTGTTATATATTTATGCATAAACTCAAGTCTGACATACAGATTTGATAGTAAAATATACATAGACTCTGTATGTCAGACTAGAGTCTATGTATATATAACTATCAAATCTGTATGTCAGACTAGAGTTTATGTATATATAACTATCAAATCTGTATGTCAGACTAGAGTCTATGTATATATAACTATCAAATCCGTATGTCAGATAGTGTATGTGTGTGTTAGTTTATTCTGATGCTTAAGGCTGAATGTATAAGAATGTATATCGAGACTCATTACTCTCATCATTAGAATAGAAACTATCCATCTATCTATCAATCTATCTACCCATCATAAGGATAGATACTATCTATATATCTCTCCTCATTTTATAGAATAGAAACTATCTATCTATCAACTAATCTTTCTATCATTACTAGAATAGAAACTATCCATCTATCTACTGATCTATCTATCATTACTAGAATAGAAACTATCTATCTATCTATCTACTGTTCTCTCATCTCAACAAACTGTAAAAACGTGATATTTGTTTAAGATAGTCCTCGCGTTTATTTTTCACAAGAAAATGGTGGATATATTTATCATAATTATACGGAACATAAAAGACAGGAATAATTAGATTTTTTTAAAACATACAATTTATTTATTAGTCGTGACAACAGGACTGCTCCGCAGTAAAATAAAACTGTCGTCCGTCCATCCATTCATTTATTCATCCTTCATCCATCATTTCTTGCCTTAAACTCGTTGGTTCACCAAAATGTTTTCAGAAAACAAAATAATAATATTTTTGCTCGGCTCATCACAGAAAATAGAATTGGATGTGTGTATTCGTGAAAGAAATATATATAGCCTAAATCTCAGATATGGCACAATCGTCGACGAAAATTTGGATTTTCGTCAGAGGTGAGAGTCAGGATTGATATTTGTACATAAACTCCTTGAATTAAATAATTGCGACAAGGTTCAGGTTTCAATGTTCACTGAATTCTCTTGTTCTGCACGCTGTAGCTACTGACTAGACCCGGAGAAATATTTCACAAGGTTTCACAGACCGGAGGATTTAAGATCTGTGTGTCCATGGATCGGAGATAAGGAGGTGAGGCCTGGGGTTCGAATTGAACCCGGAGAAGCTACGTCTTGTCTTGAGGTTTCAGAGTCACTATTCTCACTCCCTGTACCACAATCTTCACCAGTTCCACTGTGAGTTTTCGCGTGTTTGGCGAGATGGTCTGATCTCATGAACCTCTTGTTACAAGTAGGACAAGCAAACCTCTTCTCTCCTGTATGTGTTCTCAAGTGTCTCTGGAGCTCGTCAGACCTAGTAAACCTCTTCCCGCAGAACAACCAGTTACAAACAAAAGGTCGTTCTCCGGTATGCCATCTAAGGTGAGCTTTCAAGTGAGAGGTTTTACCATAAACTTTGCCACAGCCCGGGATGTGGCAATTATGAATATTTTTTTTCCTAAGATTAGATCCGGAGGGTCCAAGTCTCTCAGCCTCCTGACAGTTTGGACAATCACAGGTTGCTCTACCCGTGTATCTTCTCTGAGATCTAGGAGAGCTTACAGCTGTCATAGAAGGACTGATACCAAAAGGAGAAGGAGTAGCTTGTCCAGGGAGCATTGATTTATAAGTATCCTGGAGCATATGTGACCCTGAGAGTAGTGCGGAGCTGCTTGCTAATCCTAGAGCAGAAGCAGCACTGTAATCTGTATAGTTTGCCATCTGAGCAGCATGCATTGTAGCAGCTGTTCCTAACCCACTAGCAGCATCTAACCAGCTGCCAGCTTGTGTATGCATATCCCACCAGGAGCCTTGTAGAGGGTCCTGCTTGTACTCCGGCTTGATATGAGAGCTGGACATGTTAAAGGGCCAGGACTCGTAGGGGTTAACCCCGGCCACCCTTGTGTACATGGTCTGCATGCTCTGAAGTTGAGCTGCACTGGTTGGAGAGGATTGATCGAGTTTACACAAGGAGGAGTGGGACGGAGATGGAGAGGATTGGGTTTGATGGGAGCTAGAGTACGGATTATAAACCGGACCACCTGAAAAATAAGAAAATATTATTCATTTGATAAACGATACAGTAACTTAATCTACAGTTGAGATTGTTCTCAAGTTTTGTAAGATTAGGTTTTGAGAATGTAATTACCGTATTGAGGTGCTGGAGATGTATTGTGTGAATATGTAGATTGAGCAGGACTGGAGGGTTGGCTGTTAGTTCTTGTCTCCTCTGGGCTACCACTTGTCAACGACTGACCACTACACTTTTTCCAGGGGTGAAAACCCTTCCCTACCGCCGCATCAGCTAGAGGGGGCGGGGACTTGTTGGTCAGCTTATTACACTGCGCCGCGAGCATTGCCAAGGGGGATCCGCCTACCCCGCCCATTCCACTTTCCTGAAACAAGAAAAAACTAATTAATGAAGAGTCCGGTGGAGTTAAACTGTTGGATTCAACATTTTTTAATGAAACTTTCAAACCCATTGAAGTTTATCTCGTGGCAATACAATTCTGTCTTTTAGAATAATACAAAAAAAACGATAGATAATGCAGATGAGAGTAAAAAGAACCATTAACCTTTTTCACTTGATTTGAATAAAAACAAATTTTTAACCATACGCCTTTTAAAAGTCATTTTTAAACCTAAGCTGAAATACAAACTAATATTCGAACCAAAAAAAAATTTGATTTGAAATTTTTAGAATTTGAATAATTCGTTTTACTGATAAGATTAATAAAAAGAATTCCTAAAAAGCATAAAAATGTTTGATTTCATTTAGCCAACAAACCAACCAACCAACTTATAGAAATAAGAGGTTCTCAGAATCATGAGTAGTTTGTTGAAATTGGCGTATTTTTTCATAATTATTTTTAACTTTCAAGGATTATAAAATATAACTAATTCTGCGTTTGCAACATAAACTTATCTCTTTTATAAATTTTAATCTAACCCCACTGTTCCTAACTCCGAACCCCCTGGTTGGTTAAATACTTCTAGTTCTCCGACTATAGAGTTTAATTAATTAAATACAAGGTTTTATTGCTGATTTTAGTCAAGTTAAGGTGGAACCCTGCTCTGCTGTTTGTTTCAGATCAAAGATTAGAATAATTGTTTGCAATATTATGTATTTTATATCCTTCTCTATTCTTTATTACAATGTATGATACAATGTATGATACAATGTATGATACAATGTATGATACAATGTATGATACAATGTATGATACAATGTATGATACAATGTATGTATAATACAATCTATGTATCTCCTTCTCTCTCAAAATTCTCATTAAAGTTATATTTTTTTCAATTCCCCAAATACGTTTCATCCATTGTATCAAATATAAAATCGTAACGCTTCTCTAATCATTATTTATTAAAAATGTGAACTGAAAGAAGATATGTAATCTATTGGGATTCTTGAATGGTAATTTTCAACAAAAATCTGTTTAATGTTTATTAGATTAGAACCCGAAACCGCTTGTTTTCTCTGGGTTCGGGTTCATTACTAGAAACAGTAAAGGAACCGTCTTGTCAAACATGGGCACTCTACTCTCTCATTATCTCGGCGAAAATCTCCCCCCCCCCCTTCATTATGTACTTTATACCCCCCCTTCATTCTGAACTTTATATCCTACTTCCAAACTTCATTCTATACCATATATCCTACTCCATTCTATACCATATATCCTACTCCATTCTATACTTTAATTCCTGCTTTTTTACATCATGTTCTACTCTTTTCTGTACTTTATATCCTACTCTTTTTACTATACATCCTACTCTATTATATACCATATATCTTACTCCATTCTATACTTTATATCCTACTCCATTCTATACTTTATATCCTACTCCATTCTATACTTTATATCCTACTCCATTTAATACTTTTTATCCTACTCCATTCGATACTTTCTATGCTTCTCAATTTCCCTCCATTTTCAATCTTTATTCTAATCATGCATAAACCACTTTCCACTAATTTATCATTAATTTCTCCATTTTCAATTCTGTGAACTATGATACAATGTATGATACAATGTATGATACAATGCATGATACAAAGTATGATACAATGTATGATACAATGTATGATACAATGTATGATACANCCCCCCCCCCCCCTTCAACCCGACCCTTGGGTATAAGGACCCTTAACCCTCCACCCCTGAACAGGTTACACCTTACACCTCCCCCCACCCCCTCCGGTTAACCCGATCAAAGGGTTATCACACTATCGGATAAGTAAACCTAACCGCAGATATTTAAACAAAAATCTCATCAATATCCTTCCCGCGAACATTGACCAATTCTAATTGTAAACAGATCTAGAGCTCAATTGTAAAATACAAGTAGATAGATAGATAGATAAATAGTTAGATTAATAGATAGATAGATGGACAGATAGATAGATAGATTAAAGCAAATTAAGATAAGTTAAAAGGTAGAGAGAGAACTGTGTGCATGAGTCACAAACATTAAATACTCTAAATTGAGAGAAAATGGTTTTGTAGAAAACCATTTGAATCCATCCACTCTCTGAGATACACTTCTCCCCCACCCACTCTCTTTCTGGACTAGATAAATCTATCCACCTATCATCTACTCATCCCTAGAATATAAATCTCCCCCCCCCCCCCGGCCCTTCTCCTTTCTCTACTTCGGTTACTGAAAATAAAACTCCGCTTAAAGTAAACCAAAAAAAACTTGATAAAAAAAAACAGAAAACTAGAAAATAGAGCTGTAAACTTTTGAATAACAATAGAACTGATCAAAAACCATCCAACTGGGCTTATACTAACCTTTGCGGCACAAAAGAAGTGGTATTAAGTGGCTGTGTCTTGTTCAACTACTCGATTTGCTATTCATAAATTCCCAAATCTCTGACCAAGATAGAATAAAATCAATAAATCCGCGGATAATATGGTTTGAACCGGTTCCCAGTGTACAGTACAGCGCACACCAACCCATCAATCCACATAATTGTGTTAAAGTCAATATACTTAGACATGGGGATATATCACACACAGTCTCATAGATAAATAATAGATATAGCTACATAGATATACAGAAACATAGATAGATAGAATATCTAATAACAAAAATAAGATTTCATCGCGGGAGGAATTATAAAAAATACGTTTTTCCTATTTTCAGTAAAAAGAAGAAAAAAGAAGAACATTAAACAATGAATATGTACGTATAGAATATAAAGATTGGTAAATAGATAGATATGCATTTTCAGATACAATAGATAGTTGAATAGAGATAGATAGATAGATAGATATAAAGATTGAATAGATGGATGAATTACCTTAGAACCGCTCCCTTACCACATAATGTATGACAAAGATAAGAAAAAGATGATGTATACCTTTTATGTACACTGTAAACTGTACAATACAAGATTATGCACGTCACACATAACGTAGCTCTAAACCCACTCAACTAATTTAAATTTATTATTCTTTCCTGTTATTGCATAACATAACTATGGTTAGATCTATAGTCTGGACTGCAGTAAATAAAAAGCAGGAGTACATGCTTCGTACTCTGGTTTGCAGAAATAAATTGTAATTATGCCTGAAAAAAAAATAAAAAAATAAAATCAATGGATATCATTCAATGTAAACAAGTTAAAACCTTATCCTGCAGCAGCCCTAAGATGTTATTAGAAAATACAGCACGTTTTTTTCATGGATTAAAACCAAGCAAAGAAAGATCCTGTACATTAATCTCAAGAGAATTGGGTGTACTGTCTTGACTAGCCAACTTTAGTCTGTGTGAAGTCCGGTCTGGTACCTCAAATGAACCGGTCCTGGTGAATCTTCCTTGATTCAAACTATAACCCTGAGATATACCAACTCAATTGAATTCTATGTACGGAGTAAAAACTCTCTCTCATCTGCTTCTGAACCTTGAGCAGGAACGGATTAACAAAAGAATAAGAAATTAGCAAGACGGAGTTCTTTACTCAATTCAAGACCAGGCCAGAGCCAGAACTTCCATTCTTTCTTTATTTAGTTCAAGATAGAAAGATAGTGGAATAGTGAAGGCTTATGCTATTGCAAAATGAATAAAGCTTTAAGAAACATTCCATTTATGAATTCTTCAACTAAAAATTTCTAATGATGATATATCCAACATGTTTGTGTTATTAGATCAGAGAAAATTGATGATTGTTTTAGATTGGTTACTTGTGTCATAATCTAATGCAAAAGGGACCATGGTTACCAAAAATACACCAATATATATGTTTGTTAATAAGAAAATATACTGCAGTATTCGGGAAGAGTAAAAAAGCTGAGACATGAAGCATACTGTAGATGTAGAATACATTAAAAAATATTGTTCAGCGCTTTATTACGGGAATATAAATTCTCATGGAACAGTCTAATTCTTTATCTTGATATCATCTGATTGGTTCATTTAGGTGTGCTTAGATAATACCCTGAATAAAGATAGGCAATAGATATGGAGGGGCGAGGGGGGGTGGGGGTATAAATACTAGAAGCTATAGTAAATACCCAAAGCTAATATTTAACATTTGACCACACATGAAATCTTGAACATATTTTAAATTATCAATTTCAACATAAAATATGTAAGAACCGTATTGTTTTCGATTAAAAAAATTGAGTCTTTGAAACAAACTCTGATTTCCTAATCCCTATATCTTCGCAGCCCAATGTATAGTAAACTATGAATTTTTTTAGATTAAACAATCTAATTCTTAAAGTTCCACAGAAATAGAGATTAGAACATTTTAATTTGTGACAAAAACTCAACTCTTTTACTTTGATAAAGCGTGTTTTAAGTTAATAAACCTTATTTTCCTCTTTATCTTGCCTTTTTAGATCTTATTTTGTCTCTCACTTAAGCTAAGGAAAAAATCTAAAAAGGTTTGAACCTTTCCAAAAAAAGGAAATTTTTGTCCAAAAAAATGTATAGCTTAGCGAATTAAAGTAATATTTTTTAAAAAGTTATTATTTTTTAATAGTGGTGTCGGTCTTTGTAAAGAAGGATAAAGAAAAGAAGATAACAAGAAGATCTTCTAAAAGACAAACTTTACACAGTTCCCAAACTCATATTTTCCTGTACATATATTTAGTTTAGTTAGGGCTACTGACAGGACCCCTGGGGAACTCCTAAAACAATTCTCCGTCTAAAACAATGGACCAAGGAAGCTAAATTGACAGAGAAAAGCCTGAGAATGGGTTTGTTCTATAGACAACATCGTATATTAGGGTTGGTTGAATACCCTTTCAATTTTCATGTACCCTTAAAAACATAGAACGTATATTCACAATTTATTGGAATAAAATATTAACAGACGCATTTTCAAACATAATTTCAGTGAGTTGCTACAAAGGAATTGAGTCTTTGTCACAAACTCTGATTTTCTAATCCCTATATTTTTGCAAGTCAATGTCGTAGACCTGAGATATTTCAAGCTATGATTTCTGTTAGATTGATTAATCAAATTTGAAATGTGGTTGCAAAGATGTAGTGTTTAGAAAATTTGAGTTTGTAGCATAGACTCAATTCCTTTGGAATGGTTATTTAAAAACTCTTTCCTTGACACCTATTCATATTGCAATAAAAGGCTTCAGAACATATTACACTGACATATTATGCATAAAGCGTGTAGAGCAATTTGACTTATAAAGATATTATTGCAATAGGCATGATTCTAGTACATTTTATATGTATATTTGATACATGCAATATCAAGGAGTTCGAAACAAAGTGTGTGAAACTTAGCAAAAGTGGAATAATAACAAGAATATCAAAGTATGAACTAATTAAAATACATCAAATACATAATCCGAAATTAACGCAAAGGTCATTGCGCGCGACAGTTTTGTCTTTAAATGATAGTATGAAATGCTAATGTTTCTGGCTAAAAATAACAATTTTCAATAGGATTGTTTAATAATAAAAAGAACATCTATGCCCGCAGCCAGAAAAGAAGTGAGTCTTTGTCACAAATCCCAATTTTCTAATGCCTATATCTCTAAAACCAGATGGCGTAAATCTTTGATATTTCAAACTATGATTATTTGATCCATCAGAATTCATAGTTTGAAATATCTAGGGTCTACAACATTGGGTTGTAGAGATAAAGGGATTAAAAAATCAGAGTTTATGGCAATGACTCAATTCCTTTACTAGGAGTGGGGGGGGGTGCAATTATAGGTGTTTTATTCTGGAACTCAGGGATCTGGACCACTGAGTGTTGAAGTCAAAGGCTACACAAGCTTTGCCCTCTATAAGAATTCTTTTGATCAATTTAGTTTAAATTATTCATCGACAATTGAAAGCTATTTATTATTGAGATTTGATTAAAGATGAGATAAATTGTCTGGGTAAGTGTGAAAAAGACAAATGAAAGATTATAGAATGCGGTGCGCGGCATGTGAGCATTTTATAGAATGGTTCACGGCATGTGCGCGTGGCAGGAATGATTGTGTTCCCAGCGGGGTTTCTCAGCTCCCGACTCACAGTATCTACACTCAAGACCAACTCATATAAAAATGAGATTTAAGATTAATTTAAGGGCGTAAAGTGTATTCAGGGTGAAAGCATTTTTACGACCGGTTTTATGGATTGTGTTTTATAGATTATTTAATCATCTGGGCCATATTAAAATACCCGAAAAACGTTGATTTGAGAATGAAATATTTGAGACATACGCAAGAAAACCCAAAGCATCATCTGTCCGTCAAAAAAGGAGCAACCATATTTTTTTTGGGACAGACTTTTTAAATTCATGAAACAAACGTCACTTGATACTAGAGACTAAAGTTTAAAATTTTTATCTTTTTAAAATGTTTATTTTTCTCAAATCATAATTTTTGCCCCTGATGGTATACTGATGAGATGAGGCCTAGTTTAAACAAATTCCAGATTATTCTATCAACAAAATCATGAAAAAACTGACAAATAAGACAGGATTCAGGGTTCTATATTCTTCACTACTCAAAGAGTTTCTTAGTTATCAAAAAAGAATTGTAATCAAAATTTTCAAATTTTCAAATTGAGTGCAAAAATTTTAAAAGCAAATATTTTACTAAAACCATTTCAGTTTTGCTAATGCAAACAATGCCTCTTTACTCGTGCGCTTGAAATCTCTTTCACCTTTTTACTTTATCTCTACTGAAGTATTTCTTCCTCTATTGGACTATTTCTTCCTCTATTAGGCTATTTCTTCCTCTTTTGGGCTATTTCTTCCTCTATTGGACTGTTTCTTCCTCTATTAGGCTATTTCTTCCTCTTATGGGCTATTTCTTTCTCTATTTGACTAGTTCTTTCTCTATTTGACTATTTCTTCCTCTAATAGGCTATTTCATCCTCTATTGGACTATTTCTTCCTCTATTAGGCTATTGGGCTATTTCTTTCCTTATTTGACTATTTCTTCCTCTTTTGGGATATTTCTTTCTCTATTTGACTATTTCTTTCTCTATTGAACTATTTCGATTTCTCTATTTGACTATTTCTTCCTCTTTTGGACTATATCTTCCTCTATTGGACTATATCTTCCTCTTTTGAGCTATTTCTTCCTCTTTTGGACTATATCTTCCTCTTTTGAGCTATTTCTTCCTCTTTTGGACTATTTCTTCCTGTTTTGGACTATTTCTTCCTGTTTTGGACTTTGTAAATTTTAATTTTGGACTTTGTAAATTTTAATTTTGGACTTTGTAAATTTTAATTTTGGACTTTGTCTTCCTCTGTTAGTAAGGTAATTGAAACTTTGTCATGAACTCCGAGTTTTTAATCCCTTTTATCTTTGCAACCTCATGCCAAAGACAAATTCTGTTGGATCTAATAATCTAAGTTTGAAATATCAAAGGTTTGCATCAGCAGGTGGCAAAGACATAGAGATGAGAAAATTTGAGTTTTTAGGCCAAAACTCAATTCCTCTGAATTCTGAAAGTTTTCCATGTACGTTTTAATAGTAAAATGTCCTAAACTCCCTTTTTCAGGCATAAGTTGTATTACAAAAAAAAACTTTAATCCATCGTCTGAAAATGCAATGAATGGTTTAGGAGTACTGAGTGAAGAGTTGGACTACTGGAGAAATGTTTCCAAATATATTTCAAACCTTAACCTATTCCAACCTCTAACCCTAGTTATATTTAAGACCAGGAGCTTAATTCAAATAACGTTACTAATATGTTAGCATTTGATTATTATTGAAATATGTTAGACTTTTCCTGTTAACTGTTAGAAATGAATAATAAATTGTTATAATAAATAATATAAAAGGTTTCCTGTGTTCAATGTTTTTCTTCGTCATTTTTAAATTAATTCATATTTTTCATTAGTAATCAAACTGAAAGAAGATGACTCCATACTACTTCAAAAGTTAATAAAAGTTTTTTTTGAGAAACTGAGTAGCACTTAAACCATTTTACAAGCTTATTGTGATTTCTCCAAAGAACAAAGATGGAGTAAACTGCTTTACAGGGTTTATTTACAACAAAGTCAGGCCAAACTAAACATACTGCCAAGACAAGACCAATAGATAGAGAGATAGATAGATAGAACAGATAGATCTGGAGAAAATAGGAGCATGTAAGATAGAAAGATAAATAAATACGTCTGGATGGGTTTGATGCCAAAAATCTTGTATCTGTATTAGATCTAGATCCTGAAGATAAAAGATTTGTTGAACTTGTTGTTAGGACGAAGTAGGATGGGTTAGGACGAGTCAGGGCTAGTTATGATGAAAAGTACAGGCTAGGACGAATCATGATGAGAAATAACGGTTTAGGACGGGGTTTGATAGGGCAAGAATGGTTTTGGGCGGATTGTAATGGGTAAGAACGGTTTAGGACAGGTTATTATGGGTAAGAATGGTTTAGGACGAGTTATGATGGGTAAGAATGGTTTAGGACGGGTCATAATGGGTAAGAATGGTTTAGGACGGGTTATTATTGGTAAGAACGGTTCAGAACGGTCTGTGATGGGTAAGAATGGTTTAGGACGGGTTATTATGGGTAAGAATGGCTAAAGACGGGTTATTATGGGTAAGAATGGTTTAGGACGGGTTATTTTGGGTAAGAATGGTTTAGGACGGGTTGTTAGGGGTAAGAATGGTTTAGGAAGAGTTGTGATTGGTTATGATGGGTAAGAATGGTTCAGGACGGATTATTATGGGTAAGAATGGTTTAGGACGGGTTATTATGGGTAAGAATGGTTTAGGACGGGTTGTGATGGATAAGAATGGTTTAGGACGAGTTATGATGGGTCAGACTGGTTTAGGACGGGTCATAATGGGTAAGAATGGTTTAGGACGGGTTATTATGGGTAAGAACGGTTCAGAACGGGTTGTGATGGGTAAGAATGGTTTAGGACGGGTTATTACGGGTAACAATGGGTTAGGAAGGGTTATGATGGGTTAGAATGGTTGAGAGCGAAATTATATAATTGATTTAGAACGGTTTAGGAAGGGTTTAAAGTGCGAGTTCTCTAGCTATTATCCTTTTATACAATTCTTAATGTATAAAAATAAAGAATCCAACTTCAGCAATTAAGCAGGTTGAGGGAAAAACGAAAAGTGAAGCAATTTCAAAGGAAAAAATTAGAAAATAGATAAATAAAGTAGGAAAGAACAGAAGAGTGTATTAGAAATTATAGAAGAACGCGAAGAAAGAAGAATATTAAAAATAAGGTCAATCATAGAAAGCAAAGGATGAATAAAGTTTGATCAAATTAGTTTAAGTGCCTATAAGAGAGAATGGGGGGGGGCGTAATGAATAATTAAAGAGAATGGGAGACAGCGCTAATGAATGATGGAAATAGGATATGAAAGCTTTGACATGTGCTCAGATAGGGGGGAGTGATGAAGGAAGGGGAGGGGGGCGCCTTGAGGGGAATCTTAGGGTTAAATCGAGCAATTTTGGAGGTTACCGGATAAGGATGATGATTGCACCTGGAGAGTGTGAAGGGGGGGGGGAAAGGGGGAGATAAGTATTCGTACATCAGTATAGGGTTAAACACAAGCTTCTGTACTCGTACATCGGTATAGGGTTACACACAAGCTTCTGTATTCGTACATCGGTAAATGGTTAAACACAAGCTTCTGTCCTCGTACATCGGTATAGGGTTAAACACAAGCTTCTGTATTCGTACATCGGTATAGGGTTAAACACAAACTTCTGTATTAGTACATCGGTAAAGGGTTAAACACAAACTTCTGTATTAGTACATCGGTATAGGGTTAAACACAAGTTTCTGTATTGTACATCGGTATAGGGTTAAACACAAGCTTCTGTATTCGTACATCGGTATAGAGTTAAACACAAGCTTCTGTATTCGTACATCGGTATAGGGTTAAACACAAGCTTCTGTATTCGTACATCGGTAAAGGGTTAAACACAAACTTCTGTATTAGTACATCGGTATAGGGTTAAACACAAGTTTCTGTATTGTACATCGGTATAGGGTTAAACACAAGCTTCTGTATTCGTACATCGGTATAGGGTTAAACACAAGCTTCTGTATTCGTACATCGGTATAGGGTTAAACACAAGCTTCTGTATTCGTACATCGGTATAGGGTTAAACACAAGCTTCTGTATTCGTACAGCGGTATAGGGTTAAACACAAACTTCTCAAAAGGCATCTTTTTTATCCTTAACATTCTGCAAACCTACAACAGGACGCATTTATTTCAAGGCTCAACAGGAATGACTGAGAGAAAAAACATACCTAAAAATAGATAAATTAATTATTTTTTTTCTAATCGATTAGATTCTAATTTGAAAAGTAATAGTTCTTTTTGATCTATTTACGAGGTTTTTCGCGTCATAACTCCTATTGCAATTCATTGAGATAACGGGTTGAGACGGATGGGGAGAGGAGAGGGCGGTATTGGGGTACCCTTCCCCCCACACTAGTATATTCTATAACATATATCACGCACATTAGTCTAATGGTTGAGAAGCTTTACAGATAAAACCAGTTTGAAATCACACAGAATTCAGCATCCAACAATCAAAATTATAAAAAATTACAATAAAAACCAATACAATAAAAATAAAATCCAATTTTGAACACATTGTTGGACAATAAACACAATCACAATCCAATATAATAAACACAAACACAATCCAATATAATAACACAATCACAATCCAATATAATACACACAATCACAAAATCAATAAATTAAAAAACTAATTTTGAACACACTGTTTACCAATTTCCCAACTTGTTTAAACATTTATTAATTATAAATGAAGTTCTCAGTAAAATATTTAAAAAAAACTTGAAGTGCACACATGGATAGTTTAACTAAATATACACTTTATGATCCTATTAACAAACCTTATTAATCTTGATGTTAATTAATGAATTTGCAGGGTTTAATCACTAGTTTAGAGTCTCTAATTGTTACGGTTGAGGTGTTCTACGCGGGGTAAATTACCCCGCGTAGTACCTTTAATATGGGAAAACATATATAGGCTTATTACAACAGGTCATTAATAGTAATTATTATACTTTTATTATTAGTTTGTGGTAGTACACCTCGGGTATATTTGTTTTAATTTTCGGATATTTAGAATATTTTAGATTTGGATGTGTCCAAACTGACCAAAGGACTTGAATTCACTTGTCTCAAATTCTATTTTTTAAAATAATATATATTTGCAAACTGATGGTGTAAACATTTGATTTTTTAAACGTTGACTACTAGATCTAAGAGAGTTAAAATTTTGAAACATTAAAAGTTAGTGTCATTAGGTTGCAAAGAGATAAGGATTTTTTAAAATTGAAGTTTAAGTTTCTTAGAATGGTAAAGGCGTCGGGTATCGAGGTTTTTGATAAGTTTTGAGAGCCTCGATAGGTTTCAAAGGTTTTGGAGTTCGGAGAGTAGGTTTGAGGAGTTTGAAGGGAAAGGAACTGAGTTTTTGCCACAAACTCAAATATTCTTATCCCTATATCTTGGCAACCCAATGTCGTAGACCTTAGATATTTCAAACTATCCCTTCTGTTAGATCAAATAATCCAAGTTTGAAATATCAAAGGTTTATAGAAATTAAAAAATTTGAGGTTGTGTCAAAAACTCAATTTCATTCAGTACATTTCAGTTTCCCAATTGAGGTTTTTAGTTTGAAAATTATTCTAATTAATCGGGGTTTATGTCAAAAAGGTGCTAAAATTGAAGGGTTTTAAAGGGACGGGATAAATTTGTCAAGGTTTTTGGAAAGTTAGAAGTTTTGGGATGATTTGTTTAGTGTGTGAAGTTTGTCAGATTTTACAGAACGTTTGAAAAGTTTTGTAGAAGCTGCTAATCTGTTGTATTCATACTTTTCTAAAAACTAACAACCGAACAATTTTCAGTACCATCCTCTTCATAAGCTCTCACCCCCTAGTACTCTTATATTCCTATACTCCCCCCCCCCAGCTTTCTCAGATAATCCCTTAAGCCTACTTATGTTAGCGTCTGTGTGTGTTATGTAGCCAATCAGAATACACTTCATCATCCATACCTTATCCTATACTATTCATCTATTCATCAATTCATTATTTCATCCATCCTTCATCCATACATTATCCTATACTATTCATCTATTCATCAATTCATTATTTCATCCATCCTTCATCCATACATTATCCTATATTTTTCATATATTCATCAATGCATCCTTTCATCCATCCTTCATCCATACATTATCTATTCATCAATTCATTAATTCATTAACTCATCCTGTATTTATATATTTCATTCATTAATTCATTCTGAAATTAATTCATATATCAATGTACACGTATCCATTCATCATATTTAAACAATTTATTCATCATGACAAATATACTCCCCTAGAGATACAATTATAGAGAAATATTTTAGCTAAGTATGGAAAACTTAAACTGAAATAAAAAACAACGAATCGAAGTAGGTTTAAAGGGAATTAATTTTCAAAGTTAAAAACATATATATCTCATTCATAAATGATCATACAAAGCTTTATAGGGTACTATTGTGAATTGAACATACTACTCTTGAAATAGAGGGTTCCCTAAACTGACATGTACCGTCCCTGTAAGGTTAAACTGGAATGACATGTACCGTCCCTGTAAGGTTAAACTGGAATGAAAAAGCGAAGAATCGAATGTTTAAACCTGCAATTAAATATTGCGTGTAAACATACATTTCAGTTTTTCTTGAATTGAACTCGGGATATTAATGACGGATGGACTGGTGCTGGAAACCTTGGGGTTGGGTTTGGTCGTAATTGTTTGGTTGTGTTCGCAGGGTTAGTTGTGTTTTGTATGTTTATTTTTGGGGGTTTGGGTTTGTCTCTCTGTGTTTCCAGTTGTTGTTCTTGTAGTGTTTTTTTTTGTGTGTGAGTGTCTTCTTTTACAGGATTTGGTCGTTTTTGTTTTTAATAATGTTTCTAGTATGTTGTGTTTGCTGCTTTGGTTGTGTTTTGCATGGTTATTTTTAATCGTTTGGTTTTGCCTCTCTGTGGGTTCCAGTTGTGTTCTTGCAGTGCTAGTGTTTTTGTTTGTTTATGTTTTCTTTTTAACGACGCTGCAGTGAATTTGTGTTTGGTTGTTATTGTTTGTGATAATGTTTAGTGTTTGGTTGTGTTTTGTCTCTCTGTGTTCTTGCAGTGCTAATGTTTTTTGTGTGGATGTTTTCTTTTTAACGACGCTGCAGTGGGTTTGTGTTTGGTCGTTATTGTTTGTAATAATGTTTAGTGTTTGGTTGTGTTTTGTCTCTCTGTGTTTTTGCAGTGCTAATGTTCTTTTTGTGTGTATTCTTTTTAACGACGCTGCAGTGGGTTTGTGTTTGGTCGTTATTGTAATTTGTGATAATGTTTAGTGTTTGGTTGTGTTTGCTGCTTTGGTTGTGTTTTTTTATGTTTATTGTTGGTGCTTTGGTTTTTCCTCGCTGTGGTTTCAGTTGTTGTTATTCAAGGGCTATAGTGTTTTTTCTTTTACACGACACTGTTTAAATCGTAATTCATTGTGATAATTTTAATAGCTTGGTTGTGCTTGCTGTGTTTTTTGTTGAAGGTTGTTTGTTTGGTTTAGCCTCTCTGTGGTTTCATTTGTTGTTTTTGGACGTTTTTAAAGTTTTTATTTTAGCCTTAGTTTTATTATCATCTTGTATATGTTGGAATATGCTTGTTTATGTTGGGAATATATTTGTTTATGTTTTGAATATATATATATTTATGTTTAGAATATAAAGTTATGTCTAGAATATACATATTTATGTTTAGAACATATAGTTATGTCTAGAATATACATATTTATGCTTAGAACATATAGTTATGTCTAGAAGACATATTTATGTTTAGAATATATAGTTATGTCTAGAATACATATATTTATGTTTAGAACATATAGTTATGTCTTTAATATACATATTT